TAGATCAGCTGCCCTATCCTATTATCTACTTTTTTTCCCACCCAGATCTCTCCACTCGCTTCTCTCCCCCGTCACTCACCGTCTTCGCTCACCTCGCGTCCTCCGCCCTCCTTCTCCCCTTCCCCCTCCACCTCTCTCCGCCATCCCTCACCCCTCTTCGCCCTACCGCCTCCGCTCGGCCCCGTTCGCTCATCCATACCACCGTACCTCATCCCAATATCCACCGACACCACACACCACTACCTACCCACCAATCCTACACCTACTACACCACGACACCCATCACCACATCACACACGATCACACCTCACACAACACACATAACCACCACCACCTACGACACCACACTACACCACACCAGCAGCACGACACACAGCACACACCACACCCCACACACACACACACACACACACACACCACCCACACACGTAGAACATCACATTCAGCATAGTCGGATTGTACCTTTTCCTGACCTGGTCTCCCGGCGCTTCTCCCCCAGTTGCGCACTCTGCGCTCTCTTACCCAGGCCAATCGGCCAGTCTCAATCCACCCCCTTATCTCGGGAACCTGTCTGTTCTGCACCACCCGGAAGCTTTCCCCATCCCCTCTACCCTTTGAAATTCCCCCGATTCCTTCTCACTCCTCACTTTTCCACTCCGTGCTTCGCATCTCACAACCCCATCCCCCTCCCTTTATCCTCATTCCAACCTCTCACTCGCGTCATCACGTATTATTACTGCGCGTACTTTCGTCAGATATCCGGCCTCATGGAGAAGCGAGTCGCTCATGCCCCTACCAACTATTCAGTTGACTCGAAGCACACGATGCTAACAAATGAGGTTACCTATCCGCGGCTGTAAGTCTTCAATGGATCAGCGTGACTAGTATGATCACGTCTGCGGTTACAACGTAAGCCATATAGTTTATATCAGGAGCGGTATAAGAAGGATTTTCCTTCTTTCTTACACGCTCTTGCGTTATCATGCAGTAGCGCGGGTGGAGCGGTTTCAACGCAGCGTCATGGCATCTGATTATTAAGTTAGCTGAGCTGCCTCGTGGGTCTTTCGTTGTTAATCTCTCTCTCCGATCTTTCCTCTTCAATTTCCTTCTTGCCGTCATCTTGAGAAGGATCTTCGTTCTCTCCCTTCTCTCTGCTCTCTTACAGATCCATCTCTTCTCGCTCCTCTCTCTCTCTCTCTCTCTCTCCTCCTCGTCTCTCTCTCTCTCTCTCATCTGCTTTGTCAGTCGCCGGGCGAGGCGTATCTCGTCTTTCTCTCTCTCTCTTCATACTCGTCTCTCTCTCTACTCTCTCTCTCTTTCCTTGTCTTTCCTCTTTCTCTCTCGTCTCTCTCTCCTCTCTTGGCGTTCTGCACTACGAGTCTCTTCTTTCGCTCGAGCGTACTCTTTGCGTTGTTCTCTCGGTTCTCTCTCGTCTCTCTCCTGCGTGGCTCCTCTCGTTATACATCTCCACGTCTCATGTCGTCTTCTCTCGTCTCTCCTCTTCGCTCCGAGGCGTGTCTCTTTCGAGCGTTTATACACATGCTCCCCCTCTCTCTTTCTGCTCTCTTGTGCTTCTCTCTGCTTGCTCTCTCTCGTCTCTCTCCTCTCTTTCTCTCTCTATCGTTGCGGCGGGTGGCGGCGCCGTTAACACTAGTTTCATCAGTCTGTCTTCTCTCTCTCGCGCCGCTCGTCGCTCGGTCTCCGTTGCTTCTCTCACTCCCCTCGCCCTCTGGCTTTTTCTCTCTCCGAACGGCAGTTAACACAGGTGTGGGTAGGTTTAACACAGAGTGGGTGGTGGTGAACCACAGGTGAGCGAGAGAACAGTTAGACAGATCAGCCTGTGGGGATGGGCGGTAATCCACTGACCCGTACTTCCGTAGTCGGGTAGATTGAAACGCGCCAAGGTGCAGGTGTGGGGTGTCATGAGGCGCTGGTGGAGCGGTTGGGGGGGTTAACACAGGGGGGTCGGTGTGGAGGCTGGGTTGTGGCAGTCGAACTGAAGTCCTAAAGCCACAAGGTGTGGATAAGCGGACTGTGGGTGAGCACATGGGTGAGTGGGGTGCGTGTTTGCTGGTTACACACCAGCGCGTGATCGGTGATGTTGTTATGCGGTAGAGGGCGGGTATGGTGTCAAACGTGGGTTGATGCTGAGAGGGATGATGGAGATGGTTGAGTGGATACGGTTAATTGGTCTCGGCTAGAAGTTGAGCCACCGAGGTGGTTGCAGGTGTCGGTGCGGTGGTTAGATGAGCGTCGGGTTTGATAGTAGAATTAGTGGGAATTAACACCAGCGTCCCCCCGCGTGAGCCGAAGGTTAACACAAGCCTAGCGCGATTGGAGGAGAGAGAGAGAGAGAGAGCGCGCTGTGAAACTTACTATGCTCGTTCCGACTGCGTAATTGCGCGTTGTGTCATTCATCAACTTCGTTCATCACACTCTATCTTATTATATATAATTATTATTATATGTATTATAACTAATCGCATCCGCAGCTGCGTGAGCGACGATGTACCGGGCATGATCGAGAGTTCGAGAGTGCGCACGCGCACGCGGCCTCTACGCAAGTACATCGCCATCAAAGCATTCAAGTTTCCCGGCCAGATTATGGTCAAGTTTACCTGCGTCGCCAACCTGTGTCTCCCGTCGCAGACGGCCTGCCCTCTGGTGAGTATAGATTTGCCAGCGACATTTTTGGCAATTTTTGGCGAAGTGGTAGCGGATACAGGTAAACTTGCAACATGTTCTGCTAGCATCCATGACAAATACGACATACGCATATACGCTGTCCTATGACACTATTTGTCATCGGAAGATTCTTCCTATGACAAATATTGGCGAGTCAACTTCGTTCCGTTTTACAGCTGAAATTCACTGATTGCGTTCATAATAGCGCTCCTAAACTCCTATGATGCGCACAGCACATACAACAATATTTGTCATAGGAAGAATCATCCTATGACAAATAGTGTCATAAGTCTCATAAGAGAGCGTATATGCGTATGTCGTATTTGTCATAGATGCTAGCAGAACAGGCTGAAACTTGGGAGGTCGTGCTTGCCTTCTCAGCCTTATTACGGACGTATCCCTGGTGTAAGATGACTGTAGCCCGGATGTAACCCTGGTTACGACCCGGATGTATCCCTGGTTACGACTGTGGTTACGACCCGGCTGTAAGATGGCTGTAGCCCGGATGTACCCCTGGTTATGACCCGGATGTATAATGGCTGTAGCCAGGATGTAACCCTGGTTATGACCCAGATATAATCTCAGATAATCTGGCTGTAGCCCGGATATATCCCTGGTATAATCTGGCTGTAGCCCGGATGTAGCTGCAATGAAGAACGCGCGTACCAGTCGGCGGTACCTCCGGCTTGACTACATACATACATACTTGATTCTCACTATAGGCAGCATATAGTCGGCGTGCGTACGTGGCACAGCTGTTACCGATAATAGCTTACCTGAGCATGCATTTCTTATTAGTCACCGCGTATAGGTGGCGAGTGAAGTGGGCGACGCGGCTAATGAGAAATATACGCGCGCATGCGCATATAGGGCTGCGTGCTGCGTGCTCCTGAAATTAAACCCCCACTCTATCACCTACCACTAACAGAGAGTAAGCCCAGCACTTTAATATGTGCTACGCTTCGTATAAATTATAATTTAATGAATGGAGTATAAATGAGTTTTTATTACTCGGAAGTCACTGATATATTCCCTCCTAGCTGCCAGCACACCCCCTACACACACGGATTTTCTCACATTCTCTACACACACCCTCCTTCTGTCATTCTACTTCAACACTTCTCTGTCTGTATTCATTAATATATATAGACATATCGAGTCATAGTTTATATTCTCCGCAGCAATGCACTGGCAGTGACACCAGAGAGCGGGTCAAGCGCGAAATGGAAGAGTTAAGAGGCACACAGGTGGCAGCACCGGCCGATAACGACACTGACCCACGGCCCATCGATCGTCAGCAGCTGGCAAATGCCATCCGCGTCATCGCTCCACAGCTGGGCGACGACGACGATCACGACGATGACGATGGTATACGCCAATCCGGTGAGTGTCACTCCTCCCTATCTTCTCTCCCCACACATCCTTCCTTTTATAAACATCGGCTTCAGAATTTTAATTAATAATTAATGTATTGGTAATTATACATTATGCCTTGGCACTTTACACTTTATACTTACTTACTAATACATTATACTTACTTACGGTATACTTTATTATACATTGGCAGCCTGCCAAATTCGGGTTGGTATGGAAGATTTTTATTCCAAAATGATGCCTGGGATATACGCCCCTCGTGGGATTTAGTCTACACGCATAGTCACCGTTAACATTAGCGATCTAGAATTACTCGTCCACGAATCAGTGCCTATCTACATAACACGAAGCTGCTTAGGCTCATCGGGTCTGTCCCCAGGGTACTATCGGAAGGTACCCCGGGTACGGTTCGATATATCGGAACGTACCCTGGTAGACCTGGTAACTATCTGATATGGTTAGGGTTAGGGTTAGAGAGTAGGCGTAGGCGACTCCCTACACTCGTTAGTGGAGTAGGCGAGGTACGGTCCGGCATATTAGATAGTACCAGGGTACCCTCCGATAGTACCCTGGGGGACATAGACCCTCTCAGCCATACTTGGGGCAGGTCCATTTCAATACTCACAGAGAGCTGCTCATAGAGAGCACGAGTCATTCTGTAATTAGTCATTCCGTCATTAATCATCAAGCAAAGGTCTTCACGACGCATTACAGATGATTGTTTATTCCCTCGAGGTGTCACGTGTTCTCACGTTTCCTATCAAATGCCATGGTGTCACTCGCATGCCGGCGGCAATCGCGACGGTGCTGCCCCCACGCGACGACCAACTTCTTTCTCTTTCTCGCTGCAGGTAAGCGCCCGGATCCGCCGACGTCGCGCGAGCGTCAGTTCTGCGTCAGCGTCGTCTGGCTGGCGGTCGGCGCGGCGACGGTGGGCGCCGTGCTTCTCATCCTCATCTGCGCGTGCGTCTGCGTGTTCGTACGCGCGCGCGCCACCAAGAAGAAACACCTGCAGCTGGAGGCGTCAGCGGGCGTCGTTAGAAGAAGCGTGACAGAGGGCAGCACCAGCGGCTTTCCGTGCATCGGTATGTTCAAGGTCAGCGAGCTTCACCCGGAGAACATCTATATGAAGAGTCGGCGCGGAGCAGACGCCGAGAGCCTCCGGGAACAGCCGAGCATGCATTTGCGAATCTGACGACACTGGCGGCTACCCATGCCATGTACACGCAAGTGGGCCTGACCCATAGAACTAGAATAGAGGGGAATAGAATAGGGGCCTCTATTCTAGTTCTATGGCTTGCCCACATCAGAGGCACTGTGATGTGCGTATGAGCACAGTGGCGCCGCCTTTACCATGTTGGCCGCTAGTGGAAATGATCATCAGATAGACGTCCCCTAGCGTGACCTCTGCTGCAGCGCCTATGATACATGATCACGTGTGAGTGCAATCGCATCATGTCTGAGACAAACACGAGCAGACGTAACCAGTGACGCCACCTGCATGCAGAAATGGAAACTTTACGAATACGAGTGAATTTAGAGCACGTATAAAGATAATATATATATATATATACATTATATCAATGTGCAAATAGACGTTATTTAATCTAAAACGCTTTCTCGGTGCAGGTAATTTAAGTTACATGTAGGGCAGCTGGCATTCAACCCAATGCATTTAATATTTGACCAGGGTGGAATTAAGTCTCGCATTCATCATTATGCATTGTGTACAAACAAAATATGGTGCTCAGAATATTTATCGAGGTGACTGATTAACAATATCATCGATTATATAATTATTTATACTTATTTATATATCTGCTTGATGGATGTCAGTGCGGGTGGGGGGAGGTATATAGTTTGTCTTTGTTTGTCAGAGGAATAGTGAGAAACCGTAACATGACCCAGATATCTGTCAGCCCAATAGATGCACTAGCGAGACAGGTCTGCCAACACAACTGAGACGTATGTATATGCTTGGATTTCCTCAATTATCAGTGATACGGATACGAAGGGAGGTTGAGAAACAGATGATCAATTCAGGCAAGGTTTATTACCAATACCAGAGCACGTATATCATATGATCAGGGGTTAATAACGACAAATTTCTCATTATTAACCCTTGATATGATATATACGTGCTCTGCCCATACAGTGCTCGCTACGCCACCTGGAAGGACAAGCCCAGCATATGCCAACCGATCGAAAGGTGGTCTTGGCAGTAACTATGGGGAGAGGGCGGCTTCATCCGCTTGTATACCAGCGGTGGCTGACATTGGTAAACCGTGCACGTGTTGTATAATACTCGAGGCACTATTGTTTCGCATGAATCCCCGGATAGGTACCGATACCAAATCAGTCACTTAGTCCCGCTGAAGGGGTCGTTGTCGTATCAGGTACTACATATATGTACCCGAGGTACATATATGTATACACAAAGTGTACCAGACTTGTACTACAGACGTGTACCCTAACCCTAACCCTAGACATACCTCATATAAGAATATAAACATAATACTAAACAACCTAAAACTACCTCGGGTACATATATGTAGTACCTGATACGACAACGACCCTTCGTGCCTTAGTCTCCGACGATGCACGTTTTTTCCCTTCGTCTTTTTCTACAAGTGTTCGTGTGAATAAAAGAAATGGATCTGAAACGAAACGACGACCAAGCAAAGCATTTCTTCTGTCCATCACGTTTATTATATGAACAAATTCGGCAATGCATTTCCATGGCAACGGCAAGAGCGAGCGGTGCCTTGCTGCGGAAGGCTTGCGCGCGCTAAAATGCGCTCGACAACATCGTTAGCAAAATAGCATTACAAAATTATAAACAAGCACCTATCTATAGCTTTTCCTCACCTTTACAAGCAGCCGCGTCGCCTATGTAACACATACAGTCACTGACGCAAACGGAATATGCAGACAATAACACGCAGTCGCCCTTCTGTAATAAAACACCCACATACTCAATGTATATATACCATATAACGGTTTTGAGACTCGAAAATTGACACTTGGTTTCGATACCGCGACTATACAATAGAGAGAGGAGAAGATGACTGGCTACGCAGCAGAATGATAATATCAAGAGCTATTACTACCTTATTAGGTATTATTAGCTCTTGATAATATACATATATTTATATATGCATCCTACCACGTTAAGCGAATCCCTATAGTTCCATAGAGAAGTATACATATAGCAAGAGCTCATAATAGATTCTCTATTTTTATGCTATTTTGAAACTCCGTCGGACAGAGTTTCGGCATACAGATACACATAGAGCGATGTGACTGAGAATGCTAACAGTAGGCCTGCGCTAATAGTTCCTGGAAAGAAAACACAATATTTGTTTGCTAAATACATAAGTAATGTAGATAACATATGAATTGAACAAATTTCACAATTTTGTCGGCTCTCACATGTGGCAGCAGGTGAAGCAGTGCATCCCCGGATAGAGAGCCGACGGCCAGGGCAACAAAGAACTGCAGCAGCTGGTTGTAGAAAGCCTTCTCAAGAATCGGTACGATGACAACACCAAGCAGTCCACAGCAGGAGATCACAATGACAGCTAGTGTTGCAAAGCCCCACACTGTAAACAACAACAATAACAGATCACAATTATGGTTGACCTCTTACAAGAAAAACAATAGGTCTGAAAAGACAGCTAGTGCTGCTACACCCTAAACATTACAATAACAACAACAACAACAAAATAATCACATTAAAAACATCCGCTTGATGAGTGTGTAGCAGGGAAAAAAATATAATTTATTTTTCGGGGGCTACTTTTCAAGCTCGCGTGCATGAAAATAGCACTCTAAAAATTGGTTTGCATTGAACTCTATGCAAATTTACGGGGGCTCTTTTTGGCATTTCGGGGGCTAAATCGCCCCGAGCCCCGTGTATTTTTTCCACTGGTGTGTAGACTACACAGAAATGTACACATGCCAATCCAGCGCCACCTGGCGGCCTGACTACAACAACAGCGAACCCATTGTGTCAATACGACAGCGCTTCTACTAAGGCCAAAACAAAATATAGGTGTGGTTACCGTTAAATGCCAAAAAAACGGGTAGGTAGGTAGGGAAAACATTTTATTTTATGTACGAACCATGTCCGAAGGATGTGCGTTGTGCCTTTTGAAGCAGGAAATGTCCAATTCATTTATTTTTTTTTTTTTTTACTTTAAAGAAAATTGACAATAAAATGTTTAGGGTCGCTGGGAATAAATAGGGTCGGTCGGGAATCATAACATAACACTGGAGTTCATCCGATGTAGTAACTCTCCAGTACGATTGAATGTCGACACATGATTGTCACAGTAGCTAGGGCCAAAATTCTCCTCCCCGGGCAGAGGCATCGCGCATGCCACCCGCTCCCCCCTACACCTCACCCTCCCGCCATTCAGTGGAAGGTTGGGGGAGGAGAAACTCCTCTTCACGTTAACACTGTTGGCTGATGTTAGCCAAAATTAGATGACCAGCCATTTGCCTGGTCGCAGGTTTGCCTGGCCATGAAGAAAAAGTTTTCTCGCAGCACATCACTGCACTGCGGACGCTTCCGGACGCTGCCCTTATATATACCTGCCTACATAAGCGCACCTTGTTTTTTCGGAAAGCCAATGAGATCTAGATAGCAAACGTGACTGCTCGTTCGCTACAATTTCCTAGCGGCATTTAATTAGGATTAGTGCTACAGGCCGACTAACGACGGTGGGCATACTGAACTACCAAGTAAAAACACCGGTGTGCATACCCTCTGTAGGGAACAAGCAGGACCGCTACATAACAGTCACGCCCTGCTCCCTACGATGACGATACACGAAAGAAACGTGTGAAAGAAACTTCGACACGAAAACTGCCATTAAATATGATACCACCACTATAGCTATACCTGATAACAGAAACAATTACGAACAAAATAAATATAAATAATGACATAATAACATCGCTCCTCCCCGCTCCCTGCACTCACGACCACAACCACCGGCTTAGTATAATATCGCCACGAAATAAAGTAAAGGCACGTTCCAGCGATGCTCTATAATAGCACTGAAAATGTCAAGGTGATCTCTGCAACGAGTGAAACAAGACGTACCACCGCTGGGGTTGTTGTATGGCATACTGGCTGTACTAGAGCATGATACAGTAACACTCTGCGTTACATAAGTAATACGTTCCAAAAAAAAAACGGTCATAACGAGAAAATGTTTTTCCCCCGTCGAGTTCCATTACATAATTGGAGGCGAGTTCCTACGCAAAAATCCTTCAGCTAAAAACTCACTAGAAGAGCAATTACTAACGCAAGTCAACATTTTATAATGCATAAATTGATTATTCGATCGCATATATGGAATATATTCCATATATTCGTATGTATGGAACACGCTATCATTTTGATGCTAGGAGAGAAAGAGACTCCAGAATAAGAATAAATGGGAGTGAGAGCAAGGAACGCCATTACTAGCTGGCTATCATTCAGTATCACTATTACTGTCAGGGTAAAATATTTCAGGCTCTGACCGGGATGCCAAAATTGATCTAAAGTTGATTGTTTGTTTGCTCGGTTGATGGCCCTTCCCATTGTATAGGTCACTGTAGCTGTAGCAGTTGAGGACGCTGCTGTGAACTAGCTGCCATTGAAATCATATTGGACACAAGGGAGAATGATAGCGTGAACACATACATATCAACGATGATGACCCGCAAGACCTGTTGGCAGCTGCTTATTCAATACAATTTAATTATGGCAATTTGGCACACCATTTTTTGCACAAGATACCTGCTCAATCACGTGAAAAATCTTGTAAGAGCAAATTTACGCTTTATATCCTGAATTAAATGGTTATAATTTACAAATTAAGTATGGAAGAATTTTTGTATCGCAGGGTATTACTGTATAGGCAAATTATTCTGATACTACAGCATGCTATAGGTAAACAAATAGTTACACAGCAGCATGATATAGGTAAACAAATGGTTATACTACAGCATGCTATAGGTAAACAAATAGTTACTCAATTCATTTATTTTTTTATTTTTTTTACTTTAAAGAAAATTGACAATAAAATGTTTAGGGTCGCTGGGAATAAATAGGGTCGGTCGGGAAACGGTAACCACACCTATATTTTGTTTTGGCCTAACGACGGTTGCACGTCCTGTACGCACCTTGATGCCGGGGCGTAACCTGCTCCACAGACACTCCGTGACGATGATCGAGACGCGTCACCACCTCTCTGTCTTCCACGACGTGCTGGTGCCGGTCACCGGCGCAGTGAGCGACAGCCAGTTGGTAGACGAGGGCGGGGCAGACGTGCAGGAAGTCGTGTTCCGTCATCGTCACACGCTCCGCTGTCCCCCCGAATGTTGACGCGATCACCGCGGCCGCTGACGAACACTGCCGAGCACGTCACGAACAACACAGGGTTATGTGACAATGAACAACACTGCTGAACAACAGTAAGAACACCATGATCATGCGTGTCACAACGCATTCTTTTCACTACAAACAGCACGGATTTCACTACTGCAAATTTATAAGATGCACTGCAACATGGACAACGTTACGAATAACATATCAGAGGTAGAAATTGACTTTTGAACACGTCCAATGGACTTCCTGCCCTCAAAAAGATGGAGTCCGCAGCAAAATAAGTCCGCAGTCTGAGGTTCAAAGTTAAAGATATTAAAACAATTACGCATGTGCTTATTTTTAAGATTCATGCGGTTGCACGTCTGGCAAATTTTTTTTGGACATTAGCTGAAAAAATACGGTAATTCCACGAGGCCATGCTCTGGAACCAGGGGAAAAATTAAAATTAATTTTTCGGGGGCTACTTTTCAAGCTCGCGTGCATGAAAATAGCACTCTAAAATTTTGTTTGCATTAAGCTCTATGCAAATTTACGGGGGCTCTTTTTGGCATTTCGGGGGCTAAATCGCCCTGAGCCCCCGTGTATTTTTTTTCACTGTCTGGAACGAACTAGTTAGTAATACTAATAGTATGGCAGAATTTTCAGGGAGTCACACGGACTCCTGCATATATGTCAAATCAGGGAGTCCGACAATAAATCAGGGAGTATTTGACTCCGGACTACCGTTAATTTCGCACCCTGACATATAAAACACATTGCTAGTATTCAAATACACTACATCTTTAAGAACCACGTAAGTCACCGACTTAATACCTGACTGGCCGGCGTTGCATTCTCGATGTGTGTGTTGAACACACCATGTGTGTGATTGTGAACGCTAGCTGTCTCTCTTCGCACAACATGATGCTGCTTAGTTGTTGTCGGGTTGCCACCGCCAACCGTCCCACTCTGGGAGGCTGTTGCCGTCGGCAACGCACCGGGCGTGGCTTCGTCGAGGCCGAGGCTCCGGAACAGCGTCAAGAAACCATTATATGCCAACAGGTGGTGTTGTTCATCGCCGAACTTGGCAAATATCTGCTGAACGTAGAAACTTTCTTCGTGGCATCCCCTACATGTCTCGTTAGTACTACGTATCCTTTGCTGAAGCCAATCTGAGATCTCCGTAAAATCGCTGCTGTTGCCGACCAAACGGTCGTACTCATCCTCGTGTGCTTCCACGCCATTGGCTCTCGACGTTGCCAAGCAACAGACAATGCAGAATACACACAGGTGAATGCACGTTTTACTTGATGGACAATGCCTCTGGAAATAAAATGATTTTTGCATATCGTACACAAAATATAATATCATCATTCAGTGACATTGTCAGCAACATTATAAAGTTTTAAGGTTAATGTTAATGCTAAGGTAGCACTTTCTACTAATTATGCATTATAGCTATGAGCCAACTTACAATTACAGGAACTTCATCATTTTTTTGTCACAAGGATGCTGATTGGATGAGAATCGATCACACGGGCGGGGAACTAACGCTGCCACAGCCGGGATTTAATGCGCATCTAACGACATAATAGCCCGGAGTGGCCGGGAAATTAACAAGATGTTTTACCAGCGGGGCCATTTAGCCGTGATTTAACAATGAACAGCTCGCACCGGAAGTGTGGGACTCGGCGTTACAAAGTCTGCAGTAGTTTACCGATTGATACGTTTACTTGAAAAAAGTGTCACGTACATGACAGAAATTCACATAAATAAATACTTGGACTTTACAAACCAGAATTTAGTTGTTTGAAGTCGAGAAATGGTCCACGGTTATAGGGGCTTTTAACAGACTATAGGCCCTACCTGCCCCTTACGGGCAGGGAAATTGCTGTTTTTAACACATGTAATTAAGGAAGTGTTAAATTCCCCGCCTTTTCCCGGGGGTCGGGGAGGGGGCCGGGATTTCAATTGACTGGTGCATAAGTGATAAGAGTTTATAAGCTATAGTATATCATTTGGTAAAAACAACAAATTAACATATATAAACCTAAGGCCAAAACAAAATATATGTGTGGTTACCGTTACATGCCGGAAACAAAATAGGGTAGGTAGGTAGGGAAAACATTTTATTTTCTTGAAATATTTTATTTACGAACCATGTCCGAAGGATGTGCGTTGTGTCTTTTGAAGCAGGAACTGTCCAATTCCTATTTTTATTTTTTTTATTTTTTTTTTACTTTAAAGAAAAAAAATTGCCAATAAAATGTTTAGGGTCGCTGGTAACAAATAGGGTCGGTCGGGAAACCGTAACCACACATATATTTTGTTTTGGCCTAAACATAAAAACCAAGTATATGTTGTAATTAGCACACAGACTGACCACAGAATGCCACTAGGGACAGCGCGTCTCCCAAGTCCGACTCAGGGGAGAGATAGTGATCCGCTAGATGGCGCATTATTAATTAACAATTAATAAAATCAGTTAACCCTAACCCTAACCCTAATCCTAACCCTAACCCTATCCCTAATTCAAAAAAATAATAATAATAATTTGGCGCCTTTCGGACTTGGGAGACGCGCTGCCCCTAGTCGCAGCCCTGACCACAGGCACAGGCCCTTGGAGGCTCAAGTTTCAAGTCTACAACTCACCGATGGCCAGCCCGTCGGTGAGGTTGTGCATGCCATCTCCCATGATGACCATCCACGCGATCGAGGACACCGAGTGCGGCCCCTCGTCGTCGTGATCGAGGTGGTGCGGGCCGTGGCTGTGCCCGTAGCTGTGGCCGTGGCTGTGTCCGCTCGTGTGACCGCGCCCGTAGCCGTGGCTGTGACCCTCCGACGCCTGCTTGTCTTTGTGGCCGTGACCGTGCCCGTGGCTGTGGCTGCAATGTGGCACGTGCACAGACGAGTGAATGCGTGATAAACGCGTTGACAGAGAGCGATCTGCTTTCAGGCAGTTAAGATTCCGATTGAATAACTTAAATGCATGCACGACTCGAGTGCCTGCACAGGTTAGATAAAACACATATATATAACATAAAGTGATGACACAAAGCTTAATGTAATACAATATGTGACAGCACATGACAAGTGATATATATATATAATATATACCTACATATCTACACATGTCTAAGGAGCATGTTATCATGCTGCTTGATTTACACCTATTTTCTATCGTTTCTCACCCATTAGTTTTTAAGCTTGTGACGTCGCTGCCATGCTCCGTCTTCCCCGAGCTCGGTGGTAGGAACGCCGTGTTGACATCGTCTACGCGCTCGGTGGCGCCCCCACCGTCATTCAGCGTAGGCTTCTCTCCCAGATGCTTTAGTTCATGCGACCGCAGATCTAAAGAGAAACGACTGTGCTTTAGCATCGACGCACTAGTTGACTCAACGTGACACTCCACACGACGTGTCACTACATACAGTTACGTGGCACAGTAACACAACACAACATAAAAATAATTAATGTGACATGACAGTAACATGCCGCTATACAACACAACATGAAATTAAGCAACGTGAAATGAGAGTAACATGCCGTGATGCAACACAACATAAAATTAAGCAACAAGAAGTAACATGCCGCAACACAACACAACATAAAATTAAGTAATGTGACATGACAGTAACATGCCGCGACACAACACAACATAAAATTAAGCAACGTGACATGACAGTAACATGCCGCGATGCAACACAACATGAAATTAAGCAACGTGAAATGACAGTAACATGCCGCGACGCAACACAACATAAAACTAAGCAACGTGACATGACAGTAACAGGATACGACACAGCACAACATGATGCGTGACTACGCGAGGTGACACGACCAGCTTTACAGATTTTACTCATTGGCTTCACGTACTTTCACACTCGTGCAGGATGGAGAGGTTGTCAGCAGAGCCCGACTGGTTATGATTGCATAGCTTCGAGCCAACGGCAGCGTCCGCACTCTCGTCTCGGCCACAGGCGCCCTCTTCTGGGAGGTCTTTCAACTTCTGTAACAGCATGCGGCACCTCCAAATAAATTCTAGTTTTTTCGACAAGCATGGATGCAAGTAGTGGTCCCTAGGACAATTACCACTCGGACAACTGCCACCAGGACAACTACCCCCCTAGGACAACTACCACCCGGACAACTACCACCCTAGGACAATTACCACTCGGACAACTGCCACCAGGACAACTACCCCCCTAGGACAATTACCCCCCTAGGACAATTACCACCCAGACAACTACCACCCGGACAACTACCCCCCTAGGACAATTACCCCCCTAGGACAATTACCACCCGGACAACTGCCACCAGGACAACTACCTATTAGTCCTAACATTAAAATGAACTTTACTATGGTTGTTACGTTGTTGTTACAGCATGTAGTGGTGAGGGTTGTTACGTTGTTGCTACAGCGTGTAGTGGTGAGGGTTGTTACGTTGTTGTTACAGCATGTAGTCCGCGATGTTGGTTTGTGCGTTACCGCCGCAGTGCACCAATCAGGGAATTGTTGTGTTTGTGCTTACAGGCTTGTATTTTTGCATTCCAGCATGGGTGCCATACTGCACGGGGGTTGTTGCGGATTGGGCGGGGGCATCCCGATGCATGGGCACAGCCACGGCGGCGGCGGGGGTGGACGCGGTCACAGCCATGGAGGCGACAGCAACATCAACGTCCGCGCTGCGTTCATACATGTGGTGGGAGACTTTGTGCAAAGCATTGGTGTTCTTATCGCTGCCTACGTCATTCATTACAAGGTAGGTACATTCACAGCATGCTCATAGCAGCACATCTTTGTCACTGATTAGCAGATAAACACTTCTTAGTTTACAATTTTCAAGTTCTAGTTAGTTATTTATTACCCGATACTGATAGTGATACTGTGTCGATTAATTTTAATCTCATTTTAAATCATACATAATGTCTAATGATGATTGATTTGATACAGTTCAATGAAACTACACATGCATTTTCGGTGACAGCGTGAACTGTGAGATGGCAATCCGGGTGTCATATTACTAGAATATACATAAAATGGTTCAACTTACACATTTCTAACACATGTTATGTACTTCTGATGTGTTCCAAGCTATATGCGGAAAGTACACACTTATCAAAACATAATCATAACAAACACACGTGATCTTACCTTGCTAAAACGCCGGTTGGTCCAAGAAGGAAGCGGGCCGTGTGCAGCACAATGAGCAGCCATATTGATAGTGACCCCGAGAGCAAGATGACCTCAGTCACTTCACCCGTGCGTGCGCAGTGTGCCAGCTGAGCAAACTGCTTCAAGTGCTTACCTGCAAGTTTTTATCGTATGTAAACACAGTCTCCGTAATCCTATGCGATAACTATAATGATAGCAATGACTAATGATAACGCGCGATGTGTTACATGCTCTTAATATTCGTAAAAACACCGTTTATGCTAATACACGTGATCTAAACTAGGCGACCTATATTCGGCGCTTCCGTAGGTCTTTTGGTGTCGGCACATGCGCACTCGATGATGTAAACAAATATGGACGACAGTGTATACGCGGATGAAACGGATGTGAAGGAACTGCTAGATGTTTCTAATTTCGATGACTATGACGCGTCCGCAGGATCACAAAAGAGTGGCGCGAGTCGTTTCAACCCGTTCAACAAGCGACCGGACAGCAGCATCAGACATGCCGTGAATGGCGACGTGTCGACGCATGACGCTGCTGGTGCCCCCGTTTTACAGTTCAAGGAAGACGATGACTCGGACGATGATCAGCTGCTCAACCTAGACCACACCTCGCAGGGCAGCCATCGCTTTGAGAATCCCTGGTCTAGCATGTACCCCAACCCAAACGACCCTGACGATGACGACCGTCTGCTTGTCGTCATCCGTGAGGGATTCTGCAAAGGGGGCGCTGGCGCAGCGTGCGACGACTCGTGCCCCCGGCATGGCGGTAACTCTACGATCCAGCAGGAGGACAACGATCACTGTCACAGGCAGCGAACGCAGTCTCGCAGCAAGCCCAACGACGCTCGTAACCGCCTCATCTGTGCGAGCATTCTATGTCTCGTGTTTGTCATCGCCGAAGTTGTCGGTAGGTGGCGCTAGTAATCTCGCTGCCGAATGATGCCTCTGATGTATAGGCAGTTAATATGTAAAAACTGCACAGTCATATTTGTTACAGGCTATTTGTTTAGTTAACCCTATACTAGATAACAGCTGTGAACGAGGGAATCTGTGGCAACAGGGTCAGGTCCACTATGCACACACCAGGGAAAAAAAATAAAATTTATTTTTCGGGGGCTACTTTTCAAGCTCACGTGCATGAAAATAGCACTCTAAAATTTGGTTTGCATTGAACTCTATGCAAATTTACGGGGGCTCTTTTTGGCATTTCCGGGGCTCTTTTTGGCATTTCGGGGGCTAAATCGCTTCGAGCCCTCGTGTATTTTTTTCACTGGCACACACTATATCTTTATATAAGTCTATAAATAGATAGGCTTATGTACAGTAATGTACTTATTGTGTTCCAGAAAGAAATGTCCTTAAAACCTTATTCATGTTTTTTCCATAGAGTTGCATTATATAATTGGAGGTGTGTTCTGCATAAAATCTTCCAGTTTAAAGATATACTAGAAGGACAATAATAGATACAAGTACATATTTTTAAAATTAAATGCAAATATTGATTATTCAATGATTAAAACAGCATCATGTTATTAATACACTGGAGTGAAATGGAATTCAGAATTGGAGTCACTCGGAGACAGAAGGAGGGGCAGTATTCATTACCAGCTGGTTCACTTTTGTTATAACTATCATTGACAGGGGTATGTATGTCAGGTTGTGATAGCGAGGCAAAGCTTTATCTAAAGTTTCTTGCTGTTTATGGCATATCTTCTCTTTGTACAACTTACGTACTGTATTAGTGTATAAAACTCTTTCCAGCACCATCATAAAAATCCTGGGTCAAAAAGTAGGATTGAACCCGTGCCGGCAGATTTTACAGCCCTCTTCTGAGATTCGACTAGACTTTTGAAGACTAGCTGTTGTGTTTGCAGCAGCGATCACTACATGGTAACAGCTGAATGCATTGTCGTTTAGGTGGCTACTTCGCCAACAGTCTGGCCATCATGACCGACGCAGCACACATGCTCAGCGACTTTGCTAGCTTCCTCATCAGTCTGTTTGCAATTTGGTTCGCGCAGCGGCCGCCAACAAAGAAGATGTCGTTTGGCTACCACAGGGCAGGTGGGTCACTTCTGCTGCTACAGCTGCTGCTGCTGCTGCTACTACTACTGCTGCTGCTGCTACTACAGCTGCTACTACTACTACTACTACTACTACTACTACTGCTGCTGCTGCTGCTGCTACTGCTGCTACTACTACTACTACTACTACTACTACTACTGCTGCTACTGCTGCTGCTGCTATTGCTGCTACTAGAATTTGAGAGTGTATTATGATTCTTGCTGCATGCTAATAGTATAAATCAACATGTTTCTATGATCAGATATTCACTTTTGAAACATCACCAAGTTTTAAAATCCTATATTTTGGACGCTGTCATGACAAAGTTGCACTTTTTAATATTTATTCTGAATTGTTATCTTTGCTGCTCTGTCATCTAGGGGCTGGTGTTAGCTCTAGAACTATAGCCCTTCGCTCCGCCATAGGCCTGTGGCATAGCGAAGGGCTATATAGTTCTATAGCTAGGCTGCTGTATGTATGTTACCGTGAACACATAGATAATGTTCGTGGTGTTACTTGTACGTGTCATACATATAAGTGTCATCTGGTCTGGTGCGTGTGTGATACATGTAGGTATGGCTGGTAGAACTCATCAGTTTATCTCACGTTAAATCGTGATAATCTCACGTAATAATCACGTAATAATAAGTAAGTAAATATAAGAACTCATCAGTTTTGAATAAATAATCTCACGTTATCATCACAATTTTTTTCGCATTATCTTGTGCAAGCTGCCACTGGTCACGACTTTTGACGCAGTACAGTAGCAATGTAATTTTTCATTCCTCTGTACTTCCCCGTCCGAGATTACAGTGTTTTTTGTTCACACAGGAATACGATAGTAGGCGCACTGCACTCTAATACTTGAAATCTAGCAAGTGATTGTTACTGTAGTACTCAGCATGCTATAGGTAAACAAATAGTTACACAGCAGCATGATATAGGTAAACAAATGGTTATACTACAGCATGCTATAGGTAAACAAATAGTTACCCTACAGCATCATATAGGTAAACAAATGGTTACATTACAGCATGTAAATAGACAGTTACACTAAGAGGCTGCACTGTAACCCTCACAAGTGATGCTGAACAATGACTCCATCGCCAGACCACATGATCGCTCGTCAACCAACGTGCCGCCACTAACACACCGTGTTCTCACAGTGACAACCGCCACCAGTGACAACACCCCACCCCCCCACACACAGCCACGCACAACCCCTCCCCGCCCCACCCCCACGCACACAGCCACGCACGAAGCATCGATAAGAGATTCAGTAACCTCAGCGGAGAAGCAACGTGGCCGCCGCCGCTGTGCTGCGTCAGCCGCGGACAAGGTTCTTAATGTCGTTCTCGAACACGGCGATGATGACCATGATGATGATGCCGATGCCAATGCCCAGTATCTGACCGAGTAGCTGCAGGCAGTGACCGCATCCATGCTGCGTGTCACACACACGGATCTCTGGCAGCTGCAACATGACAACCATATATATATATATATATAGATATATATAGATAGATAGATAAATAGATAGATAGCTGGAGCAGTATCTGACCGAGTAGCTGCAGGCAGTGACCGCATCCATGCTGCGTGTCACACACACGGATCTCTGGCAGCTGCAACACGACGACGATGTTGACTACGACGAGGTGAAGGCTGACCTACTGCGGCTGCCGGGGGTCGAGAGCGTGCACAGCCTGTGCATCTGGGTGCTCACCATGAGCAAGAACGCAGTCGCCGTCCACATTGCCATTCGTGAGTTCGTCAGGCAATAAAACAAATATTGTTTGTTCGCCCTCATCCGACCGACCCGCCAAAAAGGGGCTGACTCGAAAAATTTAATTTTTTATTTTTTTTTACAAATTGTATCACTGTACATTATGTAAATCTGTAGGCAATACATTATATGTACCAAGCAAAATAAAACATTTAGCATAAAAGGTATCTTCACACAAGCACACCCGAGCATGTAGACACCATGCTGAATCTGTAAAAAGACCCATTAAAAAAAAAGCCGACCTACCTACCCAAACTTTTCAGCCTGGGTCGGGTGAGGGCAAACAAAGATTTTTTTAATTGTGGCCTTGTCGCCACCGTTCTTTTGTTACGCGCGCTGCACGGCGTGCGTCGTCTATCGCGGAAATGCCCGCCCCCGACGTTATAGTTGTCGCAACATGGAACCAAACGTTGCATGAAATAGTGGAGGTTTAAACACCACACTGCGGTCTGGTAGATTGAAAAATTAGCCAGGCCGTGCATCATTTCTCAGCCAGGGCTGCGGGGTATTTGAACGTTTCTTTATTTTTGTCTGTCTGGTGCAGCTGCACTTGGCGATAACTATGGCTTTAAGTTATCTTATGAGTTATGTTGTGATCAGTCAATATTTACCGGTTAAGGTATTGAGACTGTATAAGACTGGGGGAACTGTTCATGTTCCTGTTTCGTGTAAGTATATGTCTGTGATAATCACTGGCGTGCCTGTGCGAGATGGTAGTCAGTAGGAAAAACGGTACTGGTACAGGCGTTTATATAACTACCGGATTTCCTTGCTGGGACTTTCCGGATGATCTTATTGCCCCCAAAATGTTTTGCTTCGATATGCTGCACGTTCCGTCACGCCCTGCTCTCCAGTACGATGTTCTGTTTTGTGTTCCTAGTTTCATTAGCAGGTAACACCAGTGTATATGTGGAGTGAGCATGATTCATGAAGAGAGGGTGAGAGAGAATGTTTAATGTTGGCTCACAGTTCAACACTGAAGTTGATTGATGACTGCATGAGCAGATTTTCTTTATTTCATTCTATATAAGCTTCTTGTGCTCACACCACAAGCATTGGTCGTTTAAAAATCTTAGACGACTAGAAGAGCACTGAAAGGGGAAGTTAATAATCTAAGAGACAGGTGCATTTATGCCAATAGTATTAAGGGGAAGGAGTAGCTAGAGCTCTTTCAGTGAATAGAATTATTTATCGTGAACATTCCCTCTATTGTTTATCAAGTACAGATCAATAGATGTTTGCATCACATAGATTTGTAAAATCTATGGTCAGGTCCAATTGGTCAGACTCTTTCAAACACATCATGCAATGACACTGATGACCACCAACTTACGAGATTGTGTACTCATGACTCTATGGTCACATTAAATACTCTACTTTCCTAGCATTAAATAGATGATCTCTTGTTTGGATGGATGACTAAAGGATGATCTCTTGTTTGTACGGAAGACTAATAGATGATCTCGTGTTTGTATAGATGACTAATAGAGGATCTCTTGTTTGTATAGATGACTAATAGATGATCTCTTGTTTGTATAGATAACTAATAGATGATCTCTTGTTTGTATGAGTGATTAGTAGATGATCTCTTGTTTGTATGAGTGATTAGTAGATGATCTCTTGTTTCGACAGATTACTAAAGCATGATCTCTTGTTTGTATGGATGACTAATAGATGGTCTCTTGTTTTCAGGTAGCGACGTTGACCCGCTGCGCACGCTGTCACAGGCGACGGAGCTGCTGCGGCTGCGGCATCACTTTGTGAGCACGACGATACAGGTGGAGCCATACGACGCGTCCATCATGTCAACCTGTACACACTGCATAGGACCGACCAAGTAGCGGGCAAGGATACATGGGGGCGTCACTGTTACCTCGAGGAGTCTGTTATGTCAACCTGCACACACTGCATCGGACCGACCAAGTAGCGGGCGAGGATACATGGGGGCGCCACTGTTTGCCGCGAAGAGTCTGTTATGTCAACCTGCATATATCGACCGACCAAGTAGCGAAAGATGACAAGAGATGGCGCCACCCTTTGGCGCAGAGAGTGTGTGGTGACGTGACGGTGACGGCGTCGCGTGGAAGGCACGAGAGAGCTTGTGGATGTGGGTTAGATGTGTCGTGTTCGCTGGGGTGGGTACACGTTGCTGTGTGGATGGGAGGGATCGACCGGGGGAGTAGGGATGATGTGACGATGAGTAGTGCATTAGCTGTGATCCTTTGTAGGTCCAGGGTACGCGCCCCGTGCATCCGCGACAAGTCCCACTTACTGCCATATTAATCGGAGATACAAAGTCTGCAAGTCTTCTCTCAAGTGCCGTTTGCGTAAGTTGACTGATGCCACTTGTAGGTGAATGAGGCAGCTTGGTTAGTCGTTATCATATTGGGCAGGTACCTCACTAGCTCGATGACCAGTCCGGCATGACATAGTTGCATGTGAAAGCATGCACAAGACACATTAGTTCTATCAAACAAAGATAAACAAAGTTGAATATCTAAAAAAAAACATCTCCTGATTCAACATAGCTTTATTTATCTGCCTGTAATGTAATATCAGAAGTAGATAACAGGGAATTCCCTATTATCTACTTCTAGTGATATGCAGGTGTGTGCGAGCACATGCATCTGCGAATCTGCATTGCATCGTTTGCCAAGGTGAACTCCTACGAGCTTTTATCGATTGCTACCATATGTCAGTGGATATTTCTTTCGTGAAGGACATGGGAGGTCGCTCTCACTTATAGGAGAGATATGATAGGCACATATGTAATGTCAGTTAATGTAGTGCTTACTAGCGCGCACTGGTGGCCAACTAGCGAAACTGTATTATGCTCGCGTCGAGTTGTACTTGCCAAGATGTGAAATGCACTGATTACATACTGATGCCGATGTAGCCCATGTATTTTTGTAACAATCAATGCAAAGGTGCTAAAAATAGTCTTTTCCATCTCAACTATTCCGAAACATTAACTGTTTTTTGTCAAGATATGATAAACATTAACAGTTTTTTTGTCAAGATATGATACCAAGTGATCTGGTCGGTACGTAATTCAACGACCGAATTCGAATTTTCGTGCCGAATGTAAAAGTGTGCTCATGCCTGTGTTCAGGGTCAGGCTGAGATATATGTGAAATGAGAATGTTTTTTGTCGTACATGATCGTACGGCAAAGAATGACAAAAGCAACAACAAATAGAACTCCGCGAGTAGTTTCCGAATTACGAGTTTTCATTAGTTTCGTTAATACTTGTTTCGGTAGGTGGCGCTACGATGCAATCCACGAGTTCGAAGTTGCGCGTGGCGATTGTACGTGATTGAATGGAAAAATGTGATTATACGATTAGTTAATAGTTTGTGTAAATTAATTAAAGGGTGTATATAATGATGTCTCGGGTGAGAAATATGATTAAACCGTGTAATAAATCATTCGTGCAAATTTTTATGCAATAAATTTAAACCTCAATTTTATTCGACTTTGACTGTATTTGCTTATAGGCATTTCCCCAACTTTTTCACAGTTACATAGATAAGGATAATAATTTGCTGCAAATATACACAGCCCCTTGCACTTGTTTATTCTTAGCTATCACCTCTTGCATTAGCTCCTTCACGCCCACTACAGGTAACTACATGAAAAGAGGGGTACTCTTACTAATAGCAATTGAATTGTATCTAAAGTTAATAGATCCTATGTATCATCATGTATCCATACGCCCCATACATATCACATAACATTGTGTTATGTGATATCTATTGTACGCCCTTTCCATAATTCGCCGGTGGTGCCATCTGTCGGGGGGGTTAACGCGAGTTTTCGTCGATCCACCGCCTGAGGACGCTCACGCGGGCGTAGACGCCCGGTGTTTTCGGTCGGGCGCAGCCGTAACTCCATGAGACGACGCCGACGAGGGTCGCATCGTGGGACCTGTTGACGACCAACGGCCCGCCGGAGTCGTACTGCAGATGAGAATGGGTTGATAGTGTAGTGAGAATACGTACGCGCACACTGGTCTTCGTTTTTCACAGCTCTTTGGTTCTCCCTATGTACATAACATCAGGCTCCCTCTCCTCCTTCTTCCTCCCCCTCCTCATGTACGTACCGTACAGGCGTCCACCTCCCCTTCCTCCTCCCCTCCCCATGTACGTACCGTACAGGCGTCCCCCTCCCCTTCCTCCTCCCCTCCCCATGTACGTACCGAAAAGGCTGTTCTCCCTCCCTGTACTTTGCCTGTACATGTACGTAGCCGGTAAAGGCATTCTCTCCTCCCTCTCCTCCTCCTCCTCCCTCCTCGCACTCCCCTCCTCCTCCCCTCTCGCTCTTTCTCCCCCTCCCCCTTCCCCCTCCTGTGTACGTACCATACAGGCGCCCCCTCCCCTTCCTCCTCCCCTCCCCTTCTTTTCGTCCTGGCCCTCCTCCCCCCTCCCCTTCTGCCCTCGCCCCTCTTCCCCCTCCCTGTGTACGTACCATACAGGCGTCCCCCTCCCCTTCCTCCTCTCCCACCCCTTTTTTTGTCCCTCCCTGCCTCCCCTCCCCTCCCTCCTCCCCTCCCTCTTTCCCCTCCTGTGTACGTACCGATACACGCGTCCCCCTCGCTCTTCCTCCTCTCCTCTCCTCTCCTTCTTTCGTCCTTCCCTCTTCCTCCCTCCCTCCACTCTCTTCCTCCCCTCCCCTCTCCCCGCTCTTGTACGTACTGTAAGGCGTTCCTCTCCTCCCTCTTCCTTTTGCCTGCACACATCATTGCCTCGGTGATGGCGCCGTTGTAATGGAAGCGGGTCGTTACACTTGCTGTTGGAAATGATCGGGACGTCCACGTACTTCAGCGGGCGAGATACGAGTCTCATCTGTGCGTGCATCGATGATTGATCAATGCATCGATGATTGATTAATGTAATCGAATCGTCAGTCTGATTGCTTATTGATAGATAGACTATACCGAAAGGAGGGCGGGCGGGCAGGCAAGCAGGCAGGCAGGCAGACGGACGGACGGACGGACGGACGGATGGACGGACGAACCGACTGACAGACAAACAGACAGGCAGACTGACGGACTATTATGTTCAAAACTATACGGGCAAATGATTTTTAAAACATACCAGTAATAGCAACAGCAGTGGATATACAATATACGCCCATTTGGCATTATAACGTTATTTAATTAATGTCTAGATCTCAAACGGTAATCAAATGGGGTTGACGCCCTAGAAAACAGTTGCCGGCGGAGCGGCGCCACATATGTAAGAGGTGAAAGAGACCGGGTGCATAAAGTATGGCAGCTTAATGAGAAACAGACGGTACAACTCTCTGAAAGTAAAACTTTATGAAAGAGGACGCTCGAACAAGAGGTTCGTTAAAGGAGATTTAATACAAAGACTAAGAAACTATGTTCCACGAAATACGTTGTTGTTCATGAGTGATTAATGCCATCAATTTTGGTCATAATCGGCGTGGTGAACACTCTCGGCCAGGCATAAACGCCGGTTTGAAGCGGCTTGTAAACATGGTAAGCCTACTGTTATATTGGAACGCCATTTTCGCTACTGTATCTTTATCTGTAGTGTTATTAAATTTCCTTCGCATTATTCGCGTTCGAGATTTAGTAATGTGTTAAAAAAACGACGTTTAGGAAGCCTGCTTCGAAGTGTTCAAGCTTGTTTAAAAGTAGCTCTGTTGAATGTGAGATTCAACTGAATTATCTATTTGTCAAGCAGCACGGAACATATGACAGGAAACTTCTTTTGTGTGTGCTCAGAGTTATAGTACATAGTTTATGAGATTCACGCTGTGATATTAAGTGCGTGCATAGTGTGCAAGTGGGGTGTTATTCTTTTGTGTGGTGCTCAGGAGTTATTGTAATGTTTATTGAGATTCACTGTGATATTAGTCGTGCATGGTTGAAGTGGGTGTTTATTCTGTTTGCTGTGTTGCTCAGAGTTATTGTAATTGTTTATTGAGATTAGTAAAGCCTACAAAAGACTCCAAGTTGCAATATCAGATTATGAGCTATCATTTATTTCTAAAACGCGCAAGCATTTACTACAAACGACCTAGGCATTACTGCTTGACAATTCAGCTCGCCTAAAGTGGAACATCATCAAAGCACACCTTTACAAGTCTTCCACCGGAGAGAAATCTCTCTGATTGGGCGAGTCTCTTTTAATATTTTATATGTCTTGCCTTAGACTCAATGACCCTCTCTATCATGAATCCGCTTAGACCGCCATCGTCTACTCCCCTAACAACTGTCTCTGCCTTAAGTTGGATTTTCCTTTGAGCCATGTGACGGTGTTTAGCATGCAGCGCTTTACTACGGCAAACAAGATCACTGAAGCCATAATTCTCTATCAGACAGATGCTGTCACCCCTGGCAAACATATAGCACTACTACACAGCTCCGACCTCTCAATATATGTGACCGGTCACTGCGCTACCACCATAGCTATCACTGACATAAGTAACAAGGCCTCTTGGGCTACAGCCGATCATCGCTTTTTAAAGTGTTCTTGTTTTTGTATGTAGAAAATGTAACACTCTGGTCAATCAACTCTACTGCGTTGTAATAGGTCTCAGGTTGCATTTAAAACTTACCTTGTTGTTTCGGGAACAGTTTGGTTGAAACTTAGTTGGATATAGCGTCAATAGTTCCCGATTGCCACATGCTTGATTTCGCTCAATTTGGAAAAAAAAAAAATTTATCCAGTATTAATTATGTCTGACACTGTGACAGAGACACCTTAAAAAAAAACCTTTAGTCGAAGAGATAGCATCATTCAGAAACACTGCCTGAGTTCTAAGTGTCATGAAGCAGCTGGTCTTCTGGAGGAAAATCAGATGACATTTAAAGCGCATAAATGCCGTGACTGCAGCGTCCAAGTACACTGCATGAATAATTTAAAATGTACTGTAGTATTCAGAAACCAGTGAGAATATTGTTACAGCAGAATTGTTGCATTTCATAAGTTGAATGCTTCTCGCCAGCATCTTGAGACACTTAGAAGTGAAGCACTGAGATCCGAATATGTTCGTCTGCGCAGTCCTTGCAGATGTCTCGACCTTCGGTGATATCCTCTTCGGGAGGGGAGTAATCAAGCTCTACTTCCTCAGCACCTCTGGCACATGAAGCTCTTCGATAATTCATGACTAGATGTTCAGCAGTGAGACGGCCGCCGTTTAGCCCCGGTCTTTCTACGACGGAGATGAAGAAAAGCTGACGATCGTTGAAGTGGGAAAATAAGAAGGAATAGCGTCAACCTTGAGTCTTCTTTCTCTTCTCGTCTAAAATAAGACATATTTATAGAAACGTTAATGAAATATATTATTAAAAGTAAACAGTAGATATTTGACCATTGTTAATTTTCCTGATTGAAATATATAGCATATCTCTCAATTTGCTCATTAGCGTGATCGGGCAACGAAGGGGCTATAGCACTGCGAGAGTATGCTCAATATGAACAATAATAAAAACTGTAGAATGCAATGTCCTGGTGATTATGTGCCACAGTCGCTGTACTAGGTACTGTACTCGGACCTAGAGACACCTGGCCCTCGATTAATTTAGTCAATTACCAGCTGAGCGTGTTAGCCCCTGTGATAATTGTTCTTATTATACATTTATACTGCTCTGTAGCCCGATAATTTGCTCAATAGATAACAGTTGTTTTTTATTCTAGACTACATGGTAATACGCAAGAAAACTACTGCAAACCTCAAATGTAGCTAATAAACTAATGTTGTATAAGGCTATTTTCGATACTTTACAACTTACTTAAATCGGCTGCTAGTATAGTCGTCCTGTCCAAAGTGACGCTGCAACTGTAGAATGCCTCATGCGCTTTCCACAAATTTTTCGTTGTTTCTCAACTCTACCTCACAGCAACCCTCCTATTTGTAGTTCAGGATTCGGTTCCTGGAAACTTATGAAACCAGTTTAGCGACTTACAACCAGGAACACAACAGCTACGAAGGCATTTTAACTTTGGTTATCCTATGATTTCTGTATCTTTACTACTGTTCTCTCTTCGTGCGCGATCGTTGTAAAACCTGCAAGCGCCTGCTGACGACCTACCTGGCGGGAAAGCTAGCGGCCTAACCCCATTCAATTGCAATCCTCCACCAGTCAGACATTAACTTGACGTTAATCATACGTCGCTGAGTATGGTATTAGTGAGGTATAGGGTAGTTATTGATAGGCGTGCTGTGAAAGGAATATAGGGTATAGATATAAGGTATAGATATACGGTAAATAATATAGGTATAGGTATAATAGTAGGTATAGTAGTATAGCTATAGCGTATAGATATAGGTATAGGTATAGTAAGGTAGTATAGGTATAGATATAGGTATAGGTTAGTAGCTATAGTATAGGTATAGCCAATATACGATATAGGTATAGGCGTATAGCTGTATAGGTATAGATATAGGTATAGGTATAGGATATAGGTATAGGTTAGGTTAGCTGTACTAGATATAGGTATA